TATTTTCTTTAATCAATGGCAACTCTTCCACCCATACTAATGAGCCTGATTTATTAATTTTTGCTTTATAACGCGAAGGAGAAGTAGACTTTGCTTGCAATGGCATCCATCTGTATGTACCCCATACCCCATTTGGCGATAACACATTTTCACGAAGATTAAGTTTTATCTGTGGTTTGTAGAATTCATTTTGAAGAGAAAATTTCGGAGCCTCTTCATCTTGTAGATCAAATATTTGGAGTTTTTTATACCCCGGTTCTTGTTTTATATTTTGAAGTATCTTAAATATATCATTATCGATAATAGTATTAACCACAAATATAACATTGTCATATTTTAAGTCTCGTAAACAGATTCTTAACCGATYYAAACAGTTTTCTTGTTTATAAACGACAACAGTTTTTCCTACRTTTTTTTCTTTCTGTAAAAGTAGAGCTGTACGACAATTTGCCATTTTTATTCTTAGGACGACGTTTAATCCCACACTTGTTAATATAGATATCGCATTATATTGTTCTTTCGTTCCAAAAATTGTTAATAAATATGATTCTTTACCGAGAGTGTGAATAAGTTTTCTTACATCGTTATAATGCGCGTKATTTATAATCGTCAAAATAAAATTTTCTTCTAATGTCTGGTAAAGCAACTCTCTAGTAATAAATTTTATATTAAGGTTTTTCCTCGTCCGTTGCATAATATTATGGAGAAATTCTAAAATATTCTCATTTTTCTTTATTGACTCATTCGTTAACAATATCTTTTTTACACCGTTCATGCTAATGTGTTTTAAAATTAATCGTGTGTTTTAATACGTCGTCGATATTTATCCTTGTTTCATTAATATTCTGGATAAATCGAAGTTCCTCCGTAACAATTTTTAAGTTCCTGTTTTGAAATATTATTTCTTTAAACTGAATTCCACTCATTTCAATTCCGGGGCAAGCTATTACGTTTACCCGTTTGTCAAACTTCATCGGTAATGCTATGAAAAAATTAGTATTGTTTATATTAATTCTTAAACTATTTATGATACGTGACATTATTTTTTGTGGTAAAATTTATACACACAATATTTAAATAAAGTGATTAAAAATCTGAGAGAGATTATCTTAAGAGATAATATTGACTAATAGTTTATGTTTTAACTAGTGGTCGAGTATCTCATAATTTTAAGTGTTTCACTAAAACATTATATATAGGAGTACGATTATACAAATTTCAGCAGCAGCTATAAATAATTTGTTTTCAAAGCAGAACTCAAATAAATAATAGAAATTTTTTTCTTTACTCTTTAATTGTAAAAAAAATGAAATTGAAATTTATCTAGTTTTAGTCCATGCTCTTAAGGTGCTTTACACATATAGTTTTATTTTTATTTATTTTGTACAGAATTTTAAAAGTTTTCGAATTCTGGATCTATATTGTATTTTAATATAACTATGAATAAGTTAATATTAAGTTTCAAATACCTACTATTGTTTTCTTTCATTKTTGCTGTTAATTGTGCCATGTCAATGACGAGTTCTTGTATCCTACTCGGTATCAATATACTTTTACTCTCAGTGCTGATAATATGCACTTGAATTAATCCGTCTAGTAATAACCTCCAATCACTGCTCCATTTAAGTGTTCCATTGGAACATGATGTAGAAAGTCCACTAATATTATTGTAAGATTCTTCATATTGRTAACCATGTAAAAGAAGATTCGAGTAAATATTTTGKTCGTCGAAAATTTTTATTTCTTCTTGTAGTAAAATGTTTTCATTAATATATTTCTTCCTAGTTTCTGCTAATCGAATAATTCCAGAAGCTATCATGACTTCATCTCTTGTTTTTACTTCAAATTTGCCTGAACCTGAAAATTTACATTATTCAAAATTTTGTTTTTAAAGATTATATTATAAAAAGTACTATTTATACCTTTAAATATCATAATAATTAAATGAATTTTGCCGTTTCTAGGAACTTTTAGTATTTTATTGTAAATAATAATATTTTCCAGTATAAAAGAATTATCAGCCTTATTCGATATTAAATTCGAGTAAATATTCACAACCAACTTTAAATAAACAGCTGAAGAAATAATAATGTTGCCGTTAATTTTAAAATTTCGTAAAAACTTGTATTGGTCTGATTTCAAATCAATCAGTTCCTCAGTTTGTTGAGATTCTAGCAATTTACCACCTTCCACGTGCCTGTCAAACATATAAAATAATAGTTTATACCATCCTTTTAAGATAAGTCTATTTCGTACTTACCAATCAGAACTGTGTTCCCATCGGACAAGAGAAGAAATAGATGGGGTTTCTCTAGAAACAGGATAAGGAATTCTCGGATAGAGCGTCCCTGGCTTAAT